AAAAAAAATCGAAAAAACCAACCTGATAAAACGACATCCACTTTTTCAAGATCGTTTTGCGAAAATTCAAGTACACTTGCAGGATTATGAGCCAAGACCACTCGGGTTGAGCCTGCCGAGCAGTTACTCATCGCTACAGTGAGATTCATGTGATGACCCGCAATACTGTAAATTACGCGACACAGTTATTCCAAAATCATTCTACAACAACAAAAAGGTACATACAAAACGATGAAAGAATAAAAGACACAAAAAACGGAACTTATCACTAACCCAGAATACTCGCTGGAGATGTCATTCACACCAACGATACAGATTCTGTGGAACATCTCACATCTGAAGAAAGACTTGCGATTGACATAAAAATGTTCTGCATCATTCCAAAAATGATAATCAACTTACTGATTGTTCAGTACACGAATTCGATGGTCTTTGTACAGATCAAGCCATTTCTTAGCATCACCATAGTAGTACTCATGATTACCAGTTACAAAATATGTGGTGAATCTATGTGTCAATCTCCTACGACAGAGACATTGATTGTTAGCGAACCAGAGACCAAGTACTGGGAAAAGTTACCATAAAGGTGTAATGCGATCGCCCAACTGTTCCACAGGACCATCCACTAAATCGCCAACAAGAGCAACTGCATCGACATCTAGATCGAACAGCGTAGTAACCATTTTTTCGATCTGAAAAAAGGTAATAAACTGGAGCTTTTGGAGATCTATGCAGGTAACTACCTCAACCCTACTTCTTTTGAGTAGAAAGCAGGAAAAAAGCAGAAATGGAAAATAAACTAAGAATTGATCGGAAAAAAACACGAGAAATACCGACCTGACTTTTATGAACACTAGCTCCAGTGTGAACATCAGATACAAGAGCTATGCGTACTCCACCATCAGCTCCAGAAAAGTTCTAAATTTTGAGACAACATAGCACATTCAATGTTGACAGACAATCCTTACTTGGACAGGAATAGTGATTTCCTTCACGATGATCTTGTCGCTGCTGAACCACATCAATGCGGACATGACAGCAGTGGTAACGAGAGCAACTCTAATCGATTTAGATACTAGACATTCGGGTTAGTTTAGCAATAAGGTACAAAAAAGTTGTACAGCTACGAAACCTTACCTTATTTGATGTCTTCGATCAGTGAGGATTCTACCAATGTAAGGAAGGGAGTATAACCTATCTAGTAGTGGTTTTGCCGCCGGTATTCTCTGGAATGTGTGAATAGCAACTGCTTCGAAAGCTCTACCGGACTATGAACACTCACATCTAGCACATATAGACCGCAGTTAACCAAAAAGAAGCCAGCTACTATGCCTAACAGATTTGTCCAAATGCCTGAGCACAAAGCACATATGTCAAAGAAGAGGAACTGAAACAACTCAGCACTAACATACAAGCTTCAGCACTATAACTTACCTGAAATAAATCGGAAGCAAAGTATAGGAAATACACAGC